TGAAACACAAAAAAGATTTTTCCACAAATATTTCATGATAATATTTGAGATTGTGTAAAATTTTAAGGGTTTCCACCACTGTATAAGTGTAAAAAATAGTCTAATTACCCTCTATTATTTAATTTTCCTACTCTAAGGGATTTCTATTATTATTATTATTATTATTATTATTATTATTATTATTATTATTTTCAAGGGTCATCCATGAGGGAGCCCTTGGCTGAGAGAAGATGGGGAACCTCTACTGTGAGAGAGCTGTATATCCTCAGATCAGCAGTGAATGAATGTAGATGTACTCAGCATGTCTTAATGCTGTTCTCATACTCACCAGCAGGTGGCAGCAGCGCACATCACGCTGGTTTCCAGCCGCTTTAAAAACCCATGAAGGGGATAATGTGGTTGGTGGCTATATTTTGTGCACACGATACCATCAACTGTCGCAATATTTATTCTCCAAACCATTTTTCGACTCCGTTTCTCCTCTTAAAAAGCCTTACCTGTGATGCTAAATGGACTTCCGGTCCTCCAGGTGCTGAGACAGGCTCGTGCAGCCTAACTGCGGATATCTGCTTCAGTGTGAGGGTTGTAAACAATGAGCGTGTTCCTCTGGATCACTGCTGGACAAACTGGGAGTCACCACAGACTGCGACATTAAACGGGCTTGAATTAGGTTCAAGGTATGCTGCCTTTCTTTAGGTAACAGAATGATTATAATACTAAAGAGCGTGTTTGTTTCAGCCTGTTTAATATCTAGATATGTTTTATTCTCATATGCCATTGTGGTAATAGTATATGTTTATGTTGCAGTGGTGTCTTTAGGCTATAATAAATGATGATGTGATAACTTAAAAGAACTTACTACAAACACTTTATCTTATTTAATTTATCTTTTTTTTTTTTTTTTAAAAAAAACAGTTTTTGTGAAAATGAGTGAAGCCTTTCTGTGTGAAAGTCCACATTTGTAATGTTACAAATAAAAAACTATAATACTGTCATTTTACTTCATACTTGTACTTGTTGGCAAAATGTAGATTGACTCAACTCACTAATAATCATATTATTACATAACACTGACCTCTGCATGAGACCATATACATACCTGTATTGCTTAAGTAAGTAAAACAGGATTTGTCCAAAAATCTGTCCTAAAATAGGTTTAAAATGTGTCTTGAACGGGTCTTAAAAAAGTTAAATTTAACCGATATTACATTTTGTGTTACTGTATCAGTTCCTCAACACTGTGTTGATTTTTAATTGTTAACATAATTTTTAATTTCTTACTTTAACAACCTAAATAATCCTGCACGTACTTTTGTTTTATTTTATTTTATTTACTGATGCAGGAAAATGTTAATTCCTCAGATGGCACAAAAATAGTTACATGATGTGAGATATTACAGTGATAAAAACAAATACAGACCCCACTGGTCTCTCGGTATAAAAAAAGTAAACTTTAAATAACCTTTCTATACATATGGTGGAGTGTACTTTATGTCGTAAGCTTTCCTAAAATTAGATTTAAAATCACAACAATATATTGAATCGTAACCCCTTTATTATGAGGTATCATATTGCAAAATACTTGCCAATTCTCAGCCCTAGAAAGCATGTTGTTCCTGTAAAGATCTATGAAGTACACACACTGATCAACTCATATTCTGCTTTTTTAATTTCTTCTTCTTCTTTTTTGTTTAATTTAATGAGTTTTTAACACTTTAACAATACTCAAACCCAGACATAAGAAATATAGGACAACAAAAACATTAAAAAATAAATAAATAATAATGAAAATAGTGGTAATATTAATAATAATGATAAGAAGTTATAAAATAAATGACAGCACATTGCCAGCTAGAGGAAAAACAGTACAATTATACGCCAGTTCGTACTGTGTCTCCAGGAAGGCTGAGGCAGAGAGATGACGTCCACAGGGTAAAGACCATGAGTGGTTAGGAGAGGTCCAACAGAGACAGTGTCCTGTGTATGGTCCAACACAAGGAAGTAGTCCAATGTGGTCAGTCAGCTTGACTCCTCATCATTTTGATGTGTTCAATACAAGGTCCCCAGATTTTAGAAAACTTGATGAGGGAGTTCGACAGAGTGTACCGAATTTCTTCAAGATGTGGACAAGAAACCATGTCATTCAGCCATTTTGTAAAGCAAGGAGGGGAGAGCCTGCTGTAATGCAGGGCGAAGGTTCAGAGAATAATCACAACAGCCCAGTATCACAGTGAGAGAATCAGAGACTAACTGTATATCCTGCTTTTATCTTCAATCATAAAGATGTCCAAAATTGAGCGCCTGAATGCCCGAGTGGAGAAGCTGCTGTCCAAAGTGGTGCAGGAGGTCCTGGAGGTGGTGAAAGAGACTGTCTCAGAGTACCAGGAGAGAACAGCCAGGACACAGAGAGAGAACCAGAGTCTGAAGAGGAGGCTGCAGGAACTCCAGGACAAGTTAAAACTGGAGAGCAATGGTGAGTCGATACTTGTGTTCAGAACGGCTGGATCTGTTTGATAAAAATATTGATTGCATTTGTGCTTTATCACCATGTGCAGGAGTGGTGCCACAGATTTCCCCTGCTGAGCTGCACCTGATGGGGCAGAAACAGAAAGAAGAGCTGGAAGAGGATGCTGAACTCGTCTCAAGGCCTGACAAGGACATCGCAGTGATCTGTCCCTCGTATCCATTTGAAGACCTTGACTGTGAGGCATCCGTCACATCATTGGGCACCCCATGTCTCTCCCCTAGAGCTACACCACGACCACATTTAGGTGGCGATGACTTGAACACTCCAAGAGCTCCTAAAACAGAGACAGATAACAGACTGTCAGTTTCAAACCATGTGGTTACACTCTCTGAAAACAATCGGCAAATGAAATTAGAGCCTGCGTCAGATGCAGATGCCATGCACAACACAAATTATTTTTGTGGTGATATTAGCTCAAGCGCTACATCCTCACACAGACTACAACCTCCTCAAGCCAGTTCAGGACTCTACGGTGAGCCCGGGGTCATCTTCAGTCTGCAGCAAAATGGCATAGACGAGCCACTTTCCCACAGATACAACAATGCAAACTATGCTGGAGTAGAAAAACAGCAAGTCACCCAAACAAGCACAAAAGGCCCGAGAGCGTTCCAGAGAAATGTCAGAAAACACTACTGCTGCTCGTCCTGCGGCCGCACCTTCAGGCACGCGGGCGACTACAAGAAGCACAGCAGGGTGCACACGGGGGAGAAGCCCTACTGCTGCTCGGTGTGCGGGAAGCGGTTCAGTCAGTCGGGCTACCTCACTGTGCATCTGCGCTACCACACGGGAGAGAAGCCGTTTGGCTGCAGTCACTGCGGCAAAAGTTTTAGTCACTCGAGTAACATGAAGAAGCACCAGCAGACTCATCTGTGAGGCTTCCAGACTTCCTCTTAACATATCATGTTAGTGATATCTAAGGATGGATGGTGAGAAGGCTGCCTGTTTGTAAGCCAATATAAGAATAATAAAAGGTGCTGGATTCTCAATGTTTGATGTCAAGCTATCTTCTATAAGCATTTTTGTCAGCTGAGCGTATCGCAGTCCTGTTTAGAAGATTATGTAGCTTCATCCTGACATCAAAAATACAGTTTTTCAGGTTAAATTTCGTTAAAGAGACAGTGCTGTTGAGTTTTTAACATGTATTTTTTGCCACCGTAAGCACCACAAGCTGAGTGCCATCTAGTTCCATTATATTGGAGAGAAGGCAGACGTCTCTACAGCCGATATCTCCAACACTCTGCAACACACACCAAAACACTCTAGAGGGATAGATATCACTACAGGTAAGAGGAAATATATGTGTTTTTGATTTTTGGGTGAACTGTCCCTTTAAGTGACATGTAAAAGTAATTGTGCCTTCTTTTAGCAGAGCAGAAAGCTTACTGTAGAGCACATATCAACCTTCAAGTATCAACCTGAGGACCGAGGACCACTTTGGAAATAAGTGTTTTCTTTAATGCTTTAAAGTGCTGTCCTCTGGGGTCTTTTATGTCATGATACTCCTGTGATTGTACTTTCAAAACTCCAAATAAAAATCAAATCGAGCACAATCTAATAATCCCCTAAGTTCCTGTCGTATTGTTTGTCAGATGTTTAGAGATTTGTTTCATGTGTTACTTGTTACACTGAGGTTCTTATATGGACCTCCATACAAATCAAACAAATATATTTGGTATTTCTTTATGGTAAAATGTTCTGTATTGCCATCAAGGTTTCTTTACAATGATCCTACACAATCAAAAAGCATTGAGCATTGAGGAGCTGGCTCTCCTTGCAGTCACAGCTCCTCAGGTCAAGACTCAGCTGTCCATTTACATCTAAAGGAGAAGGGACACTCTTTAAAGGACAGCAACGCACGCATCTTGGCCAGAGAAGGCAGATGGTTTGAAAGGAACCATCTACGTCAAACCGGAACAACCATCGTAAAACAGAGGAGGTCAGGTAAGGTAAAACTTAAACGTCCCTGAGGGGCAATTTGAGATACAGACAGTAGTCATGAGTACAGCAACTGACAGTACAATACATAACACACAGAATCCAGTCTCACACACTGTCAGGGGTAAATCATGGACATTAGTGGTCACTGCTGATTAAGATAAGTGATAGCAGACAGGACGAAGGATGATCTGAAATGCTTAGTGCGACATTTAGGGAGAGAAAACCTCTGCCCTGATGAAAGCATCTGAAACTCAACATGGAGGGGATGTTGAGAGTCTGAGACAATAGACCGAGCTTTAGAGGTGACCCTCTCTTCATACAGATGCTGTTGGTATTTTAAAAGTAACACCAGTGATCTTACAACACAACTTGACCACTTTTTACAACTCAGATTACCAAACCGAGAGACGATGTTAAAAGAAAGAATGGACTCAGTAATAGCAGAATAGAACAATTTAATGATAGCCCTGTTTACATCGAAACTCTTCAGCCTCCTTAAAAAGGTAAATAGATGGCCTATGTCACCACTTATGACCCGGATACAATGCAGTCTTGAGATCCTTTCCCAGATTATTAAACACCCATTCACACCTGGACCTATCTAACCCTAATGATACACATGATGGCCAGGTGGGACAACGACTCACGTGTGAACTCAATGACTCTGCAATAGTTCACAACCACACAGAGTTCAAAGCCTGTGACTCTGCATCAGTCCATTAGAACTGAAGAAGCCTCTTGGATGAGAGGTGAAACATCTCCGGTCCAGTTGCCCACGATATAGGAGTTAGGATTACCATGACCTGGATGACTGAGAATCTTCTCCAGCTTGTGTCAGAGCTTCGAAAGTCAATCTGTCTCAGGACTAACTAGTTATCAGTGATGAAATGAAATGCAGTCTGGTCCAGTGTGCAGGATTTAGTGGCATCTAACGGTGAGGTTGCAGAACTGAAACTTCTTCCATGTTTAAAGTGTGTAGGGGAACTACAGTGGCTGACAAGAAAACGCGAACAGCCCTATCTAGAGCAGTGCTGTGTCTCAAATTGCGTACTTCTGTACTTACACTTAACATTTTGAGTGCATAAGTGCGTTCACACTGAGAAGTATGGAAAAATGCAGTGCATGATGAGTATCCGGATGGTGCACTCAAAACGGTCAAGAAGTTGAGTGTGGAACTATGGACACTTCTCACACTCAATGGTCGCCATCTTACCTTCCGCTCCTACGTAGCATCAGTAACAATAACGCAAATGCTAATGCTAGTTTGCTAACTAGCTAACAGCTGCGGTCATCATTTACGGTAATTGCATGTTTGATTTGAGACAACACTACCCTGTCAAAATCTCGCGCAATTCTATGTCAATGAGTACATAGTGCACATAGTATACTACATAGAAGTGCACTAATGGAAGTATGTGATTTGAGACACAGCACAAGTGTTTTATTTGTCCATTCTGAGCCATTGTAGAAACAACATGTCGGACTCCATGGAAGAATACCTGCTCTGTATGTAGATATAAACAGCTCATTCTAAGGTAATGAGGTAGATGCTTCTAAATCCTAAACACTGGACCTTTAATAGTAAATTCCTGCCTTTACAGAATCCATATATCAGCATGAAGAGTGCATAAATCATCGGTCTCTCATTATTTTACAAGGCCCTACCTAATATCCAGGTCCATCTTGGACAAAGTGGAAACATTACAAGATGTCAAATCCCTCTTCAGCTTGATATCAACTGGTTGCCATAGAAGCCAGATGACTCTCCTACACTGCAAAATCAGGACTAAACTGACATTTGAGGATGTAAAATTGCAGCAGTGGTATGCAGAAGTCACCACCATTCCTCAGCATTTAGTTATTGTACATTACTTCTGCTGGCACAACTGTCAGCAGAGAGTTAAATCAACACCATACTTCTGTACAGCTATTGTAGAGCAACAATGGCTACTGAACAGGAAGAACAGGACTAAACAGGAGATTTACTTGAGATAATCGCTGCACCACATCTGAACAGTTATGTGCACAGAGTCTTGTCAGATAAGGAGAGTAACACCGCAGCACCTCACTACCTCACGTTTCAGAGGGGATGACGAAACATCTTTCCCAACACTTTGAAGGTATTTCCCAATTCAAGAATTTCCAGTGACTACTTCCCTTTCCCTCAGGACCGAGATGTGACTTGTTTGAGCTTGAAGCTGGGTTTAAAGGACTGCCTGCTTCACCAGATGTCACTTCCTGTTATGCCTTCAGACACACTGCGTCAAGACTGTGATAAGTAAGGTAAGGTATCTGGGGGATGGGGACTAATGTTGATGTGTTAAATGGAAATGCAAAAATCCATTCAATCTGAGACTTTTGTGATTGTGAAAGTTTTTTGTTTCAGAGTCTCTGGAGGCGACGACATCATCATGCAGAGTGTCAAGTGTGTGCTTGTTGGAGACAGTAAGGTGGGAAAAACCTACCTCGTCTACACCTACATCCACAAGATCTACCCTAAGGAATACGTACCATGTTTCTTTGAAACATACAGCACTCAGGTTAGTGTAGACAGCCAGACTGTCACCCTGAACCTTGGACACACTGCTGGCAGTGAGGACTACGACCATCTACGCACCCTCAGCTACCCTCAGGTCAATGTCATCATCATCTGCTTCTCCATCTCCAGCCCAACATCCTATGAGAAGGTCAAGCTCAAATGGCTCCCAGAGGTTAAACACTATTGCCCTGATGTGCCGATTCTCCTTGTGGGAACTAAGAAGGATCTACGTGATGATCAGGAGGTCTTGGAGAGACTGAGAGAGCAGGATCAGACCACAGTCACTCAGGAGCAGGGAATATCGATGGCAAAAGAAATAAAGGCTGTTAAATATCTGGAGTGTGCTTCAATCACTCAGGATGGGCTGGATGAGGTGTTTGAAGAGGCTGTGCGTGCAGTTCTCAATCATTCAGTCACCAAAAAGAAACCATGTGTGGTCATGTAAGCTAAGGTTGTATATAGATACTGTATTTTGATGATGTGAGTTCATGGTAGTCTGTGCATATCTGTTTGTTTCTGTATATCTGAGCAGCTTTATGTGCTTGTGGGGCAGGCATGACATCAGATTTTCACTGCACAATTGTTGTGGCACTGGACTATTGACAGGATATTATATGTGTATTATTAACATGATATCTGTAAGGTTTTTATTTTTGTGTCATGCACACTTACATGTGCCCGACCTTCATGGGTTCACATGACACCATTACAATGACGTTCCGTAACAATCATGTACATGTTATTTTACTACTCAGACCATAAACAAAATACTCTGCCTTCTATCCCAGGAAATTCAGCCACAGAAAAGGTTCCCTGTCTGAAACAGAACTTAACTTTTTCATGATCATCCAGCCAAAAGAAATCAACAGATACTGAAAAGTACACTCTTTATGTCTACATATATACTGGACTGTAAAACAAGAAGTTAATCTCATTCTCAACTTCACCTAAATTACACAACAAACAAATTCTGTCCTCCTTTAGGGTGGTGTAAACCTTCCAGTCTCTAAGGCTAATGGTAATGTTCCTGAGTGCAACTGTGCACACAGGGATCTTTGTCTTTTGTTTAGGTTATACTCCACGTAAGGTTCCACAATGTAGCTATTCTTTATGAGACAATACGTTAATAGTTTGGAATATACCATATTAACAGACCATGCGAAACATTCCACTCCTAATGTCCTGTGTGGTTGTCTATGGGAATATCATGTATGTGCTGTAGAAAGACTAAAAGTGAATGGTACAGATGCAACTTGATATAAAAATGTATCAGACCACACCATGTTATAGTTAAATGTTTGTTGTTTTAGGACTCCTTTATTTATTTATTTTTTATATTTAGTTTGCTGATGTGTAAATGTATAATTTAATAAAATAAATAACATGTTCTGGCCATCTTAGTTTGCTCAAAGCTGTTCTCTTCTGTTGTTTTTACTTTGCTGCAGTAATAAAGTGGGAACTCCCAGTTTTGATCAGTTTGCTCTGGATCATTTTATTAGCTGTATGTCACAGGACAATAAACATTTAAATTTGATTCAGCCCAAGGTTAAGTTAAATGTCAAGTGTATAAAGAATTATTACTATAGAACAGTGATGTGCAAGTCAATAAATAGTTGTAGTTATAGTTATTTTTGTCTTTTAATGATAAAAAATATACAAAAATTCAGGTAGGCCTATGGCAGCACACACAGTTTGAATATAAGTGCTACAAATACATATGAGGGACAGAAAATTTTGAGTGAATGAGTGGGGTCTAGTTTTGAAAAGGCCCCATAGCTTTTATTTTGAAAACTACCTCACACCGGATGTAATTCATGTTCTGCTTCCGGGGCTTACGAGTTGTTGTGTTGCGTTACGATTCCTGCTTTTAATATTGTTTCCATTTTCTTTTAAATGTTTTTACCAGCTAAGTCGACTCAAAATTAACTAAACGCTTTCTAACACAGTAACTACGAGATACGTTTTCGGGAAGTTTAAAAACAGAAACGATAACGTACGGAGTTAGCTCATGTTGCTAACGTTAGCCGCTGACTTAACCTCCAGCTTTCCAGGTACAGCTGTTATAAACATGCTAAGCTAGAGAGCTGACATTAGCTTAACTGTGGTTATTAAACACGTGTTTGAAATATGTTTATTTGAAATTAATATTAATTAAACCGTGAACTATTATAAATGTTTAGCTTAGTTGAACACATAACCTTATTACATTGCAAACAAGCTGGTGAAATAACTGTACCAATATAACAACAACAGCTGTAAACTGTGTTACTTTTTCATTTTGGGTCTATTTTCCTTTTTAACACCACAGTACTGGTTGTGACCAGTTTATGATCAAAACAGCCAGCAATGATGTCACACAGCAGTGCGTGTGAAACATGATGATGCAACTGTTTACATACTGCCCCATTTGCAGAGGGTTGAGCACAGGTAGTCTACAGTCATCTCTTACCTGAAGTGACGTCTTATTTCAGGATGTCTAAACTTGAACGTTTGAATGCTCGTGTGGCCAAGCTACTGACCGAGGCGGTGCAGGGGGTTCTGGAGGTGGTGAAGGAGACAGTGTCAGAGTACCAGCAGAAAACTGCCAGGACACAGAGGGAGAACGAGAGTCTGAAGAGGAAGCTGCAGGAGCTACAGGACAAGATAACAAGAGAGAGCACAGGTGGGTTACAAGCATAGTCTTCTTGATCCTCATTTGTTACAGACCAAGGGGAAATGAGTATATATGGGCACATTTTAGTTCTGGTCCTGGTTCTGTTCACACTGATAGACAGCTCAAGAACATGACTGTCAGGTAGCTCGTTGATCGAACAGTGTGGGCAATTGTCATCCTTATTGAGTAGTGTATCATCAGCATCCACTTGAGGAAATCAATTTCTGGTGACTGTTTAGTCAAAGTTTACGCACTCGCATACAAGCACCGTATGCGGTAATTCCATAATTAAGTTATATATGTGGCCGTATACAGATCTGAACACATTTCACGATAAGCGGATGGATTCATAAGAAGTGTAGCTTTTGAAATGATACCACAATAACATATCTGCTCACATAAAATGCTGTGGTTGGTTCATTTGCCTCCACACCACAAACAAGCTCTACCAGAATCTACTTAAGAGCAGACTGAGCTTCACCTTTCAAGTCTGAGTTTGTTTCTTTTGGTACACAAAAGGGTTTTATTGACAGCTTTCCCCACAGCCCAAATGAGCTGTACTAACCAGGCAAACAGACCTGAGTTTGTTTTTACAGAGTCAAACAGGTTAGGTGTGAAAGCAACCTTGATTCTCACAGCTCTGTCTTTTGATCTTGATTTCACAGCTGCTCCACCCACAATCAGTCCATTACCTGAAGAAAAAGAAGACCCACAGATTCAAGAGCAGGATCTGGGGCTCGCTTTGTGGCAGGGCTCAGACCTCCCTCTCGCAGAGCAAGCACCGATAAGCAGTCTCAAACCTGACCATGACGTGAAGCAGGAATTGAAACAACAGGAGAGCTTCAGTGATGCTGGATTACAAGTTGAGTGCAACTTAACACAAACAACAGAACAGTGCAAAGCACAACCCAAGGAGGTGACGCACATTATTGAGGAGGCAGTGACAGTCCACACATCACACAGTGCAGACAGCAACATCAGTGCTGTCTCATCCAATAATGCATGCACCTCTCACTCCAGCACCTCACTTGGGGTAAACCTGGCTGGTATCAAAACAGAGTCAGAACTAGCAGACTGCACAACATCAGAGCCACCATCTCTTCCAGAACAATACAGTGGATGTGTGGATTTAAGCTGCAACTCTTCTCGTCAGAACACCGCTGAGACGCAGAGGTCACATATTAGTGCTGAACCTCAAGGACGCGTCTTCATCCACTCAAATCACCCCATCCCTCGGAGGCATGGCTTTACAAAAAACAGCAGGGCTGCATTTGATGGGAGAAAAAACAGGATGGAGCACTTCAGGAGAGAAGACTCACACTTGTGCGTCGTGTGCGGAAAGACGTTCAGCAGGGTCGGGAACTTGAGAATCCACCAGCGTTGTCACACAGGAGAGAAGCCGTACGGCTGCATACAGTGTGGGAGGCGTTTTAGTCAGGCAGGAGACCTGAAGAAACACAAGAGGGTCCACACGGGGGAGAAACCGTACTACTGCAACCAGTGTGGAAAGAGCTTCAGTCGGGGGGAGAATCTGAAAAGACATCAGAAGATTCACATTGGAGAAATTTTACAATTACAGCAGGTGTGGAGGGAGCAACACAATGATTAATGTACAAGACTGACTGCAAAGCACATTGACGCTGTGGAGAATCTGTGAAGGATCATGTTTGGTCTGTGCCCTTAAGAAACAGTTGCAAGACACCTAAATTATTAGCTTGAGAATTTATTAAGGCTAGTCTTTTATAACTTATTGGGAATTGTTACAAGGACTTACTTACTGTTCTGCTATGGAGCCAATTGTGTGCTAGTTATGCTACTTTTTTTGTCCCTCTGATCACAATGAAACAGGGCTGTAGAAGGTTATCACCCAACCAAAGAGGTGGATGTAAAGACACACTATCAGTATATATAATGATAAATCAAACAATTAGAGTAATATAAAAAAAGGACACAATAATCGAAGACAACACAAGATAAAACTATAAAATAATCAAACGAGACATTTATAAAATAAACTGTGCTAAATTAAGAAAAGGCTTTTTGAACAGATAGGTTTTAGAGGTATTTTAAAAGATGTCACTGATTCAGCAAACCTCAAATCAGATATCACAATATTTATGACTAACTGCGACTATATTGCAGGGTTAACTATTTCTCAACTTTCACAAAATATTCACACAGTTAGATTTTTGATAATCATCAGTAATGTGCATGAAATGAGCAAGTGGGTAAAGACAAACAAAAGAACAGCTGTAACAGTCAGGTAAGGAAAATACACTTATGATATTACAATATCCAAAATCTAAAATGATATATCTGTCAAATAGTGTTTTTGGCTAACACAGTTTGGTCAGTTGTGGAATTTTACCTCATAGAGCTGTTACATTAGGAGAAAAAGAAGAAAAAAGAAAAGAAATATACTTCAGAGGTCCTACAAAGCCATGGTATATTTATACAGGTTTTTAAAAAATATTATTTTGGCTGAGTCTATCCATTTTAGCTGTTTAGTGCGACAAAAAATACCTTTGCAATTCTTCTCAACCAGAGTGGAGGTCAAATCACGCAGGGGTGTGCTGGACTTTAAGGAGTTGCACTTTTTATTAAGCACCTTCAGCTGTCAAAATGATTTTATTAGAATGTATAACATTATCAGTAATGTTTCAGACAGTGTAGAAAGGAAACTCAGATACTGACATGTGCTAAAAAACAATAAACAAAACATGATGGTGCAGCTCTACTTTGCATATAACAAATTTATATCCACTGAGCATTCGGTCTAAAGAGCAGGTTTAAACTTTCAAAGGTGACATTGTGTCATATAGGAATATGATTTCAGTAATTTCCATATCTGGATAAGTATGTGGGGGGAAAAAAGAGAATGGAAAAATATTTGTGTTTCCAGACTGTTGGCCTTTATTCTGTTTTTTAACATATACTTAAGAATTTCTAGAATAAATTGATAGTACTTATAAACAGAGTGTTTCTCATGGTATTTGGAGCAGGCAGCCAGCACAGCCAAAATATTTGCCACCGTGTGAGCGAGTATGGGCCAGAGCTGGCTCCATGTCATTGAAAGCAAAGCTCCAAGTATGCCATGTCTAAGTGCTTGATAACTAAACCAAATCTGGACATCTGCCACCAAATTAGCCTGAAAGATAACGTGGCAATATCTTTGAATAGCATATATTCATAGCATCACAAATAACTGACTGTTTAGCTTGTCTAATATCTGTGAGTGATGCAGTGATGCAGATATCTGATGAGCAAACACTGTCTTGTCTGTGCAAAGGAAACCAAACCTTCATGGTTGCATTCATCGTTGTTTCCATGGACACAGTGAATAACCAAGGCTGCACAGGTGCTGTGAAAATTAAATTATTTAATTTTTTTCCAACTCATTTTTTAATTCTTATTTATGAAAGAGACTAAAACTATGGGGTAACAGTGATATAATTTATTCAACATGTTAAGAGAAAATAATCCAAGTAAAGGCAGCGTTGGTTCGCTTACTTCATCTTTGGGCAGAAACATTACGAGACACTACATGAACTAGCTGCAGTCTCCTGGCAGTTATTGGGCAACATTAATATCATACATGGTCAGAAGGTAATGCACATGTTTACAGATGGATTTTAAAACCATTAATTTATTTTTAATTTTAATAAACATCTGGTTATTTGGACTCAGATGCTAAACATGGGCTGAAAATCTACCAAGAACTCTGGAAATGTGAGTCTGCAAAAGTCTGGAGTTGAATGTAAAATGTGTATGAACCCTGTGTGAAGTTGTTTCAGTCATGTACAGAGTGAGTTCTCTCATGTTAAATAAGTAAAGACTGAATGATAGAAAGTCTTTAATATCTGGACAGCATGATTGTCATGAAAACTGCCTGATGTTCCAGACTGATTGAAGCTTGCTGTATGCTGGATGTATTTATTGCAGATTTTATTTAGTTTTTTAGGATATAAGCCAGGAAAATAGAGTTTGTACAGCAGAACAATAAATTAATTTATTACCACCACAAACGGCTCAGTGAGTGTCTGTTCCTCACTCATTAACATCACTCAAAGGCTCGTTGAAAAAGTAATAAAGGCAAACATCACCTCAACCCACCTGTGGATGTGTGTCATTTTCAAGTCATAAGTTATGTAAGGTGAGAATGTGTGAGAAATTATCAAGTGCCCACCTGACTTAACACACAAGACGTTGGGGATTTTCACAAAACAAGCAACACACACCACTGACTCACACTCACAGCCAAACACTGCATGTCAGCATCATTTTTCTGTGACACTTGTTCACATGGTAGCATCTGATGAAACCACAGTTCCCTGTATAAGTTACATTTCAGGCCACAGAGCCGTCTCCATACCCGCCCCCCTCGCTCTAGACTGCACCGACCTCTCCTGATTCAAATCACTCATCAAAACTCATCTTTTCAAAACTGCTTTTAATGTGTGAATGATGTTGTGTGTATTCTACTGTATTTCATGATCATTTTAATTAATGCAAAGTGTCTGAGTACTATGAAAAGCACTTTATAAATAAGAGATAATATTCAGTAGAGTACGTATAGGTTGTTCTACTATAATTACCCCCCCCCCCACCAGCTGAAGCCAATCACAAATGTACATGGCGGGTTAACCTGTTGGGGCAAAAACCTACATGCCACCATCCTCTGTGTGTTGTGTGTGTACTGTGTCATTAAGCACAGTATACACAACAAAGAACGCACAGCAGCTTCATCATATGACCAGGGGGCCAGGGGCCTACCAGTACTATGGAAATTCACTTTACACTTACTCTAGTAGAGTTATTAAATGTCATAATTTATGCTTAATATTGTCCTACTTTTCTATAGCCTTTAAACTATTACAAAAAAAAATCTCTTTTATTTTTAGAAAGGTATTTAGATAAAATACAAAAACTAGTTTTTTAAACAGGGCCCCTCTATAAGTTCAAAAATGACCAAATGATGCAGGACTTGCTTTAGTTGAACTTTATTGGTGCAATTTTCCAAACAAATTTGTAATGCATAATAAACCAAACCAAGTGATACAGGTACTGACAATATGGCTGCCCTGGGATGGATGTGAAGCTCTGGGTAGCCCTGCACTAAAATGATCAACTTTTCCATATTTATCACAGACTGATATTTAGGAGGAAGGTAAAGATATCCTTCAGCTGTGATTGGTCGTTCCTGGTCACATCACATTTGATGCGTGCTGCTGCATTCCAAAAGTTGCACTCTGTTTACCTTGGGACGTAGCCATTGCACCCTGAAAAATGGGTGCTCGGGAACAAGTGTGCGTCAATCTGGTGTTTGAGCGCACATGCCGAATGGCTCCATTGAAAACAACGAATTTGAGGGCGCAAAAAATGCAGGATTTATGTACGACCCCTCAAGCTAGGTGCACAACCTAACGCATTGACGGATTGATGCTGGCCGGAAATCATTCATTCCAATGGAGATGAAAATGACGGATAGTAACGGACTAGTGCGCAGCACGGCAGAGGTTCCGTTGACCATCGGACCGTGGAGGTGTTGGATTTTTCCTACATTTTGACAACATGGGAGAAACGGAGCGTTACAGTGCCGGAAGTAGGAAATAAATTGTAATTGCAATTGTAAACAAACAATATCTCATTTATTTATGCAAAAGAAAAATAAGCATAAGCTTTTTTTTTTACCACTATTAAAAGTGATTTTTAACCATAGGTTGATTTCTATGCGGTTGATAATTAATCTATATTTTTGAATTTTGCGCTCATTTCCATAGCCCATTTCGCACCTATATATCAGCTCTTTCAATAGTACACTACTCAACTTGTCTCAGTTCAGTATTATATAGTTCAGTACCTGCATCTGGCCAGGTCCGTCAGCGGCGGAACCTCACAGCGTTGTTCTGGGGGTGGGGAATGCGTTGGGGAAAGGCTCCGTTAAAACAGGAAATATAGGTTGTGCACCCGCCATTAACCTTCACAAGCACATCTATTTTCGGTGTGCAAAGTCATCCAGTGGGCCGGATTGGACCCTTTGACGGCCGGTTTTGGACCCCGGGCCATATGTTTGATACCCCTGCTCTATGCCTTGGCTTTTCTTTCTTTCTTTATAATATTTAATCAGTTCACGATACAATGATACAAATAAAGTTACACTTTCAATTTAAACAGATGTACAGGTAAATATATTAATGCAGATATGCCAGTGGTCAAATAAATAATAAATATAGATAGATCGATAGATCGATAGATAGATAGATAGATAGATGGAAACTAAAATGAAGACATTAAAGTGGGAAGTATTGTGTTTACCCAGTGGGGTTGTTGTGTTGACGTGGAGCCGCCCTCAGCTCACCTACCTACCAGGAAGAGATTGACACACACACACACACACCCACAGGAGGAAACACGGTTATTACACACACTGCTTCTGAAAGGTGAGTAAACACCCACCATGTGGAAGTGAGAAGTTGTCTGTCCTCTCAGTTTCTCAACTTAAAGTAGAACATTATGTCAAAGGGAAAGTGAAATTAATAACTCAGTTGTTACAGACGGCGGGTTAAAGTCGTCACCGCCGTAAACACAGTTGGCGAGTTATTAATGGCGGTCAGTTTGGCTGCTCTCCAGCTACATATACACGACATTACACCGTCTGACTGCCTGTTGTACAAAGTATTTAATAAGGCATGTGGAGAATTTCCTTGTCTCAACACGTAAAGGCGCGTTAATATTACATATCTATAAAGATATACAGCAGTAGTCTGATAAATGGGGAAGTAGTGTGAATAATGTATGTGTGTGTGTGTGTGTGTGTGTGTGTGTTGCAGGTTCAGTCTGAGCAGCCTGAGATGTTGAAATGAAGATTGATGAGAAGGTTGTCACCTACTTTGAATCTTGCACCTCACCAGTGGACAAAGAGGGATACCTCTACAAGAAGGTAGGACATGGTATTAATTAAACAGTATCTATATTTCAGAGGAGGTGAGAGAAAGTTTGTTTGCCTTGTAAATAATTAACACAAGTTAATGGAGGTCATTAAATCACACCCAACAATAAACACTTTGCTTGTAACGTCTGAAACATTATGTCAATAAAGGAATACTTCACCCTCTAAATAACTACCGTAAACTTAATTTAATAGCCCGGGCTATTATTTGCTTAAATCACTGAACTCAGCAGGCCTATATGTGGGACAGGCGAGTTACGACACTGGAGGATTACAGCACCCTGCATACCAACGCTACACTTTATCCTGTTAAAACAATACTCACAACTTGGATTCATTATTTTGAAAAACCCTGTTGATAATTTTGATGCAAAGACCAATTACTAAAGGAATATGAATATCTTACAGGGTAATAAAGGAATGGACACATAATTTCAGGTAGCCAACAGTCTGGTTTTATGCATCGGAAGAATTTTTATGTAAAAAAATGTTGTGACTAGGCATTTAATTGAATTTTTTTGGTTTTTATAAATCAGTTATTTATGCCATGTTAATAAATTCGTTAAGAATTTGATTGACTGATTAATTGGGGACCTAGTTTAACAACAGCAAAACTATATCAAGGAATCCCTTTACAAACTCTAACACAACTCTACTTCCCAAACACATGCATTTCACTCATGGATGGATTACTGAACAGGCTCAGGGGGCCAAAGGATCAGGGGGTCTCTTGGCTTTCACCTACAAAATGTCACTATAACCTTTATTTAAGGAGGGAAGGCCATTGACAGCAAATTGTCTTTTACGAGGACACCTTACAGTACTTCTAAAACAACAGAAGCTCATAAAAGTTACAGTTTACGCCAACAAATTATAAAACAATAACAATAAAGTTAACAGTTACCATCCAAGAAGAGACTCAAAGTGACTTCAAAGAGACACAAAATGTGTACAAAGAGACACAAAATGACTTCAAATAGACTCAAAATGACTTCAAAGAGACACAAAATGACCTCAAAGAGACACAAAATGACCTCGAAGTGACCTCAAAGTGACCTCAAAGAGACACAAAATGTCTACAAAGAGGCACAAAATGACCTCAAATAGACACAAATGACCACAAAGAGACGCAACATGACTTCAAATAGACACAAATGACCTCAATTAGACTCAAAATGACCTCAAATAGACACAAATGACCACAGACACAAAATTACTACAAAGAGACACAAAATGACCTCAAACAGACACAAAATGACCTCAGAGACATAAAATGACTATGTGAGACACAAAATTATTACAAAAAGACACAAAATGACTTTAAACAGACACAAAATGACTTCAATTAGACTCAAAGTGACCCCACAGAGACACAAAATGACCTCAAAGAGACACAAAATTACTACAAAGAGACACAAAATGACCTCAAATAGACACAAAATGACCTCAGAGAGACATAAAATGACTACGTGAGACACAAAATTATTTCAAAAAGACACAAAATGACTACGAAGAGACACAAAACAGCCACAAGGAGACACAAAATGACCTCACACAAAACTATTACAAAAAGATATATAACGACTACAAAGAGACGTGAAACAGCAACATCAAAAAGAGACAAACATGATTTTTGCTTTGAAGAGGACAAAGATGGGTTTCACTTTCAGTTCAGTTTTAAATAGTGAGGTTTCAGCTAAAATGCACGTGTTTGGGAAGTACTGAGCACATGACTGGATAAATGAGACATGGATTTTACTGCATGAGTTGTGTGGGAGTTTGTAAACTGATGTTTTGAAATAGTCTGGCTGTTGTTAAAAACGATCCCCAATCAATCAAAATCACTTTAACTTTAAATGTTTGCATTTTCCATGGAAGCATTCAAGACAAACAAAGCTTTATTCAGAAATTCAAGGTAACACGTCAGGACTAATTGATATACAAATGGTCATTTCGTGAATGAAGTGTTCCTTAAACTATTTGTCTGAGCAGATAGAAACAAAAACAATAAAAAATCTACTTCACGTTTTTGTGAGTTTCATCAAACACTGTAACATTTAACCCCCCAGTAGGCCACTTATTTCCTCAAATTGTTGTGAAAGAAATTGAGTAAATGAGATGTTATGTAAGTGAGTCAGTAAACCACAG